ATGCATGAGTGCGTGCATGCATGCATGCATGCATGCATCAACACACTGGCTTCCCTGGCTGCCCTGCAGCAAGGCGGCTTCGCTGGGGGCCGCACAGCAGCAGCAGCAGCAGCAGCGCCTTTGCTGCTGCTCTCAAGGGCCCCAGTGTGGAGCTTTTCGCTGGGGGCTGCAGCACAGGGGCCCCCCCGGGTGCATGCGCCCAAGCCCCGGGGCCTCACATCCGCTGCATGCAGTGCAGCAACAGCAGCAGCAGCAGCAGCAGACCTGCTGGGGCTCTTAATCGCGGACACCCAACTAGCCTGCTGCTGGGCACTCCAGCTAGGTGGCTAGCTGGCTAGCTAGCTGGCTAGCTAGTTAGAGTGGCTAGCAGCAGAGCAGCGGCTGCCCCAGGGCTGAGGCTGGAGGCCTTGCTGCGGAGGTGCTGCTGCTGCACCTGCTGCTGCGCGCCGCCTGCTGCTGCTGCCGCCACCGCGGCTGTAGGGGCCCCGGGGCATCGTCTGCAGCGCTGCTGCTGCTGCTGCAGCGCTGCTGTTGCTGCAGCGCTGCTGCAGCGGCTCTCCCTAGCTTCAAGAGGAACTCAAAGTGCTGCGCGGCTGTTAATAGCGCATGCGCAGCAGCAGTTAGCTGGAGCCACGTGTGGAAAAAGATAAAAGGCTTTAAGTGTACATACACCTCAGTACTCATCGATATGTTGTCTTCCCCAGTTAGGGGCGGTTTCCGGGGAAGAAGGGCGGAAGAAGAGCAAATAAATTTGAAAAAATAGTATTTTTAATTTAAATAATTAATGATTATGTTTTAATCGCCGCCTGTAGGTCGAAAGTGTCTGGAGCGGGGAAGTTGAACTGCGGGATGTTGGGGGCTGCAAACCCCAGCGTCCGGTCTTCCCGAATTTGCGTGGAATTCGAATAAATTCAATAAAATTGAATAAAATAAAATTAAATTTGGAATTAAAAGGAGCATTTACTTCCCTCGAGAGTCTGCATCTGGGGGAAACTTGAGTTGGTGTGAATTGGTCAAATTTTCTGCGGGCGCTGCGCAGGGCGGCGGCAGCCCGTCGTTCTCGGGGGCTGCTGGCGCGTTTTTCGAGAAATAAAAGCCAAAAGAACCCCTTTTTATTCATTTGTTTGTTTTCCAATGTTTTTATTTCCCGGGGGCTCTGCGCTGCGGCGGCGAGGCTCCCGTGACCAGCCCAGGGCGCAGTAGCCGGGTGTATCGACAGCTGCGGCGCGCGCGGTCGGAATCTGTGGACCGCATGGACACTCCAAAAGATCATTTTTTTCCCTTTTTTTCCCCAAATATGTTTTCCAGAGGCGGTTCGGGCGTCTCGGAGGCCGGAATCGGGGTCAAGTACGGGCCAGCGCCTGCGGAGGGGTCCTTCGGGAGCAACTCCCAGGGCCTGGAGGGGGCTGTAGGCGAGGATCTGGAGGGTTTAGAAGGCAGCAAACTCCTCATGTTTCCCCGCAGGTGGCGAAGGAGCCGCCCAGAGCTCTCTTCGCTCATTTTGGGCCTCGTTGGAGTTGTGCTCTTCGCCAGTTTTACTCGGAGGGCCCTCCGGGCTGCAGCGCGAAGTGACCTGGGGGCCCCCGCGCGTGCCTTCGCTTCGGGGCCCCCCGCGCTGCTGCCCGCGCTGCGGCGCGCTGCGCTGCAGCCGCCTCCGCAGCAGCGGCGGGCGGGCGCCGCGCCGCTGCCGCTGCCGCCGCCGCCGCCGCAGCAGCAGCAGCAGCAGCAGCAGCAGCAGGCGCCCCCGGCGCGGCCCGCGGAGTTCTCCCCTCTCCGCAAGTTCGAGAGCTGGCTGTCTCCTTTGCTGCACAACGAAAGGGCCCTTTTGGCGGCCTGGAGGCCCCGCGAGCCCCTCCATGACCAGTGGTCACACCAGCGGGCCCGGGCGGTGGCCCTGGCCCTGTCCAACGGCCAGGCGACTTCTCTGGAGGGCCTGGTTCTCACGCTGGACCCGGAGGGCCCCCCGGGGGGGCCCCCGGGGGGCCCCCAGGGCGGCCCCGCGCGGGGCCCCCCGGGGGGCCCCCTGGGGAGGAGGGGCCCCCGCGGGAAGGGGGGGGGCCCCCGGGAGCTGCGGGTGGTGAAGGTGTTGGGGTCGAACAACCGGCTGCTGGTGTTTTGGGGACAAGACGTGGAAAGTAATGAAGAGTTTGCTGTTGAAGTTCCCGTAATAAGTGAAGCTCGTTTGTTGAACTTCGACTCTGAAGAAGAGTTGGTGGGGACGGCGCTGGCGCGGATAGAAGACGAAGCAGCAGCAGCGCAGGCGCGGGGCAGCAGCAGCAGCAGCGCAGCAGCAGCAGACAGGGGCCTCCTGGTGCCCCTGCAGCGCGCACGAGTGCGGGGGGCCCCCCCCTTCGCCAACTTGGAAGGGTTTTATGTTTTCAACAAGTTGAGTTTGACGGAGAGGCCCCTGGGGACTCTGGGCGAGCTGCGGAGCCAGGCCCGCGGCACTTTTGCTGCTGCAGCAAACTACATTGCGCGGCGGCTGCTGCACATCGTGCTGCTGCTGGAGCGCAGCAAAGTGGGCCACGCAAACCTCCAGTGGAACAGCTTTTTCCTGCGCAAAGACGGGACTTTTGTCTTGGGAGATTTGCGCAGCAGCGCAGCTTTTGGAGAGCCAGTGAGCCACTTGATGGGGGCCATATCTGAGGCTTTGGAGCCCGAGCTGGCGCTCGAAGTTGCTGCAGCAAAGCCCATTTTGCTGCAGCAAACCACCAACTTGTGGGGCCTCGGGCTGCTGCTCTTCGACCTCTTCACCGGCAGCAGCAAGCCCTACGGCGAGGGCGAGGGCCGCGGCTGGCTGGGGCGGGCTTCGCGCCTGGCCCGCAAGCTCCTCGCCGACGACGCAGCAGCAGCAGCAGCAGCAGCAGCAGCGCAGCAGCAGCTGCAGCAGGCCCAAGTCCCCCTCAGGTGGCAGCAGCTCATCCTCCGCCTCCTCCACCCCCAACGCGCCCAGCGCATTCGCGCGGCCGAAATCGCCGAAGAGTTCCCAGACCTCCTCAGCCCCGCAACCGACTGATGGGGCTTTCCCTGCATGCATGCATGCATGCAGGCGTGCATGCATGCGTGCATGCAGGCGTGCATGCATGCATGCTTGCATGCGTGCGTGCGTGCATGCATGCGGGCTTGCATGCATGCGGGCTTGCATGCGTGCGGGCTTGCATGCGTGCATGCATGCAGCGCTTTCTTGGGCTGGCTGGCGGGCAACAGCAGGGGCTTTTGCGGCTTTTCCCTCTCCAAGAAAGGGACTTGAGGGCTTTTCAAATTTGAAGTCGAAAACTAATTTGAAATCAATTATTCAACAAGTCCTTCTTCAACTCCTCCCCTGCCCCTCCTGCCAAAGAAAGAAATAGTTGCTGCCCTTCGCAGCAAGGGCCCGGGGCCTCTGCTGCTTCAGGCGACCCAGCGGACCACTGGTCCAGTGGTCCAGTGGACCACTGGGCAGGGGAGGCGTTGCGGGCTGCAGCAGCAGCAGCAGCAGCGGCAGCAGCAACAGCAAAGACTGCTGAAAGTTCAGTTTGTGTCGAATTTGTTGGCTGTGGCGGGCTGGCCACAGAGACCTCTGGGGAAGTGGCAAACTGTTTGAAGGCCCCTGCTGCTGGCCAGTGGTCCACTGCTGCAGCTTGTTTGCGGGGCTGCAGTCTTCTCTTGGGGGCCCCTTGGCTTGCCTCTTTCTTGGTTTTTTCTCCCCCCTCGAAGTGCCTTTTGCTTCCTCTGCATGCACGTGGGGGAAAGGAGTTTGCTGTTTTGCTGCTGAGGTCTGGGGCATTTGAAGAAACTAAATGGAACTCACTTTCGAAACTCTTCTTCGCAAACGCCAATAAAAGTGCCCAAGTTGCTAATAGCAGCAGCAGCAGCAGCAGCAACAGCAGCAGCGGCTGCTGCTGCTGCAGCTGGCAGTAACAGCGCGTAATCAGCTCGCGGCAGCAGCCGCAGCAGCAGCCGCCGCTGCTGCTGCTGCGGCTGGGGGCAGCAGCAGCTGCTGCTGCTGCTGCAATGCCAAGGGCTTTGAGGTGTTCCGCAGAAAGAACGCGGAATAGACTAAGTCAAGAATTATTTAAGAAGAAAAATGGCATTTTTGCTGCCGCTTGTCGGGAGCTGTTTGCCGAAGAACTGAGCGGTGCTCGAGTTGAATGTATTTGTACTTTTAAAACAAAATGTGTTTAATTCCATTTCTTGAAAAAGAAAAGAAAATCAAAATAAGCTGCATGCAAGTAAAGGGCTCTGGCTGAACTCCAGAAGTGCACTTTTGTGGAATCTGAGTTGCAGAGAAAGAATACAATTCAAGTATTTATTTTAAATGAAGAGTTCCAGAGAAAGAATATAGCCCAAATATTTATTTTAAATGAAGTCTTGACTGCTAAAGATCGCCCCAAAAAAGAAAACTCTGTCAATGTGTGCAGCAGCGCCTGCTGGTTAGCTCTTGGTTTTTTTTCAGAGGGAAGTTCATCTTGAAAAGCAAAAAAATAAAATAGAAATGATTATAAAACTCTTGACGCTAAAAAAGAAATGCAAGAAGCTACAGTTTTTGCAGTTCCTCTGCTGCAGCTTCCTCTGAAGGATTCAGAAGTACTGCAAATACCCGAAAGAGGAATATCCATTCAAGTTGCTGCTAGCTGCCTGGCTGCCATATTTCCCTGCAAGTGCAGCAGCAGCGAACAGCAGCAGCAGCAGCAAACAGCAGCAGCAGCAGCAGCTCAAGAGTTTCGCATCAACTAGCGAAGCTGCAGCAGTTCACAACCCCATCACTGTTTTGCAGACTAAGTGCTTCTCAGTAATAAGGCATTTGAACTCTTCCTTTTGGCCCCCAGGGACGAAAATAAAAGATAAAAAACTTCAATTGAAATAATTTTGAATTAATTCGATAATCTGCAACAGTACTCATGGTTACATCTTCAAATTGAGCTAAAGTGGAAATCTGAAAAGCACTTTTGCACAAGTGCGCCACATCAATCCTCTACAGCACTGGTATTAGCAGAGTTTGAAATAAAATAATTTGAAATTAAATAAATTATTTACAGATTTAATCAATTACATCACCTTGCCTCCACTTTGAAAGAAGAAAACATGCAAAGAAGAAGGATGTCCACAATTCTAATTCGCCAGTCTTTTCGTAAGATAAGGCAGCAGTCTGAAGTTCATTTGAAGTGCCAGTCTTTTGTAGAAGGCTTTTAATAAACAAACTGGTCTATTCCAAACTTGAACTTAGAGAACTTGGCAAAGCCCAGCCCCTATATGGGGCCCTTTGCTGATTGGATTAACACAGAAATGAGTGGAAAGACAAAGAAACAGAATAAAGATCAAACAAAGTGTTTTAAATACTTGCACAAGTTAGGGTGTAAGCAAAAGAAGAGAAAGCCATGGTGGGTGGAATCTCATCAAAAAATGCAAGAAATAGTCCTTTATGAATGTCCAAAAAGAAAGAGAAAGCACAAGAACAAATATGCAGTACAAGTTTATTCCACCGCTATAGACAAAAAATGCAGCCACTTATCAAACAATCGAAAGGAAAATGGCTTCATAGAATACAGAACGCTGAAGTTGAACAAGTTTGGAGAAAATTGTTCAAGAAGGAACTTAATTATTGCTGCTGAGGGCAAAATGCTCAACAGGAAAAGAATTTAAACATAAAAGTAAATATTAAGATGAAGCCAGAGTAGGAAACATGAAGATAATTGAAAAAAAGAAAAGAAGGAACGAAGGACCTCAAGGCTACACTTGTGCAAGCTTTTCCGTTTGTTTTTTCTTTCTCATCTGCGAGTTTCACCTATTATATGAATATAACATTTCATTTACCAACAGAATAAAATATTAAATATACTGCATGACTTTTATGGACACAATAAAGCAAAGGAAAGCCAAAAAGTACACCCAAGGGGCCCCAAAGATTCATATCTAGAGCTTCAAGACTACACTATAAACATTTTTCTTTCGAGAACTCCCGCTGTTGCATTTACGCCATTTCAAAACGAGCAAAACGGCGCATTTAAGAGAGTTGGTATATTACAAAAAGGCGGAATAAGATCTTTTATCAAAGTGGTTGACTCAGTTGCAGAAAGAAACCCAAACAAGCAGCAGCAGCTGTTGAAAGATTTGCTGCAGTTTCATGAAATAGAAACGAACTAGGAAATGCCTTTTTGAAGCTGCGCCTCAGAGGCACTTTTCCCAACATGAACTGCAGCAAATGAACTGCAGCAAAGAGTCCAGAGCCCCAGGCAGCTTCCTGTGCAGGTTTATCTGCTGCAGCGCAGCAGCAGCTGCAGATTGCTGTTTGTCTATAACTGCATTTGGGATATTTTGCTTCGAAAGCATCAAAAGATCTTCAACTAAAGTGCTGCAAGTGCCGTTATTCCAGTGGATTCTGTTGGTAGTTTCGTTGGATAAAAGTGCCTTCCTTTTCTCTCAAAGAAATTAATATATTTTCAATCATTCTTTTGAAATTTAAGCGCCTTTAAACTTCGGCTTAAAGTTTGGCCTTTGTTGATAAGAAAGCAGCACAGACTCTTTTCCTTCAAACAGCAAATGGAATGCAGCAGCTCTTTGGCTACCCATTGCTGCAAAAACTACAAACGTGCAAAAGAGATATAATACTCTTCTAAAAACATTCAAAAAGAAACTTCAAGTTCTGAAGACTATTCTAGAAGCAAACAAAAAAGAAACTTCAACTTCTAAAGACTATTCTGAAAATAAAAAAAGACAAAAATTTCAACCTCTGAAGACTATTCTAAAGGCAAACACAAAAGACAAAATTTTCAACTTCTGAAAACTATTCAAAAAAACAAAGAAGACGAAAATTTCCACTTGCGAGTACTGTTCTAAAAACAGACAAAAAAGACAGAACGCTCTTTCAACTTCCGAAGACTTTTCTAAAAACAAAAAGGACATTCTTTCAATTTCTGAAGGCTATTTTGAAAACAAACAAAAAATGTGACAAAGGCGACAAAAAGTGTTTCTTGAAATTGAATTAAGTCCCCGGAAAAAAGCAAATGGAAGAAACATAATGGGATGAAACAAAGAAGGAAAATATAAATGTCTGCTTGGATGCAAGCCCGAGAAAAAGATTCGAAGTTTTCAAAAGTTGAATTTTGCTGCTGCAGCAAGGACTTTTGGAAGCAGCAAAATCGGAAGTCTTCCGAGTTTGCTGCTGGGGTTTATTAAAGGATTTCAGCAGCAATTCCCAGTCAGACAAACTCTTCAAACTTTTCAAATTGCTGCACTCAGCGGCTTTCTTAGGAAGTGTGCTGCAGCGCAGCGCAGCAGCAGAAGCAGCAGCAGCTTCCAATGCATGCAGCAGCAGCTCCCGACGCATGCAGCAGCAGGGCTCACACCCTGCAAGTGACTCTTCCGCTTAGTGCCACCTGCTAAGGAATCTCGACGTAGGCTGCAGCTGCTGCTGCAGCTGCTGCTGCAGCTGCTGCAGCTGCTGCTGCAGCTGCTGCAGCTGCTGCAGCCTAAGCTGCAGTCGCTGCTGCAGCCGCTGATGCAAGCGTTCAAGCCGCTGCTGCAGCTACTTCAGTCGCTGATGCAGTTGCTGTAGCCGCTGCTACAGCTGCTGCAGGTGTTGCAGTTGCTGCTGCAGCTGCTGCAGTTGCTGTGTTGCTGCAGCAGCAGCAGAAGCAACAAAGTCCTACTGCCTCCTTTTGGCTCTTTCTAAGGTGTTTCTGTGAGTTGCTGCTGCAGGCGCTGCAGGTGCAGCAACAGCAGCAGCAGCAGCAGCAGCAGCAGCAAATTTTTACTGTCTCCTTTTGGCTCTTTCTAAAGTGTTTCTATGAGTTGCTGCTGCAGGTGCTGCAGTTGCTGCTGCAGCTGCAGCAGCAGCAGCAGCAGCAAAACTTTACTGCCTCCTTTTGGCTCTTTCTAAAGTGTTTCTGTGTTCACTCATTCCGCTCTTGAAGACAGAAGCTGCTTCGGACTGGTCATCGCGAATGAACAGCAAAGAACTGTACTCGGGACACAGCAGCAGCAGCTGCTTTGCTGCTGCCAGCTCCTGCTGCTGCCGCCCCTTCTCACCCCGCTGCTGCTGCTGCTGCTGCTGCTGCTCCTTTTGAGGAAGCAGGTTCCCTACTGACAGCAAATCCCCCACAGTCCACCGCCACGCTGGCTGCTGCAACGGCAGCAGCGAAGCTGCCTGCAGCACTCGCACCACAAACTCTGCGGCTGTCAAGCACCTCCTGCTGCTGCTGTTGCTGCTGCTGCTGCTGTTGCTGCTGCTGCTGCTCATCCGCGATATGGCTTCGTCATACTCTGCGTGCTCTTTAGATAGTGCTGCAAGCATTTGGTTTATTTCCTCCAGAGCTTCAGCGCGACTTGGTTGTTCCTCTTGCTGCTGCTGCTGCTGCTGCCGCTGCTCCTTCTGCTGCTGTTTCTCCTGCCGCTTCTGCTGCTGCTGCTCCTGCTGCAGCAGCTCTGGGGAGGCGAGCTCGTCTCTAACTTCACGCAGGCGCTGCTGCATCACTTCGCATGCAGCAGCTCGAGAAGACAGCAGCAGCAGCTGCTGCGCTGCATCGCAACCCCGAGAAAAACCCAAACGCCGCAGCAATTCTGCTGCAGCAGAACACAACTGAGAGACACGAGACGAGGAAAAACACAGATTTACCCCGTTGCTGCTGCTGCTGCTGCTGCTGCTGCTGCTGATGCTTGCGGGAATGCTGCTGCTGCTGCTGCTGCTGCTGGAGGCGCAGGCCTGCAGCAAAGCGTCTGCGACCCTTTTGCGCACAGCAGCAGAACAGCGCATGCGTTTAGCAGCAACAAGAGAAAAGCGATCTGCTGCTAAGAAGTCAGCGTAGGGCACTGCAGCAAGCCCCCCCGCGGGGTGTACAGACACCACGAAGCGCCGCTGCTGCTGCTGCAGCAGCACAGCCACTTCGTCAAACTGCTGCTGCCCCACAGCCCGCCGCAGCCAGAGACTAGCAGCAGCAAAAAAAGACAAAGTTTGCAAATCTCTTTTTATAAACAACAAGTCCCCACTTTCCAAACTGCACTCTATAAAGTAGTCCGTCGACTGGCCCCACAACTTCCCATAAAAGGGGCCCCCCAAACCCACCCCGCCCTCCGAAGGGGGGCCCCCCGGGGGCCCCCCAGCAGCCCGGGGGCCCCCAGCAGCCCGGGGGCCCCCGGGGGCCCCCGGG